ATTTCATTTTTTGTTGCTCGAGGACGGCGAGTGCGCGCGGTCCTCGGCTTCCCTCTTTTATTTTTTCTTTTTCCTTTCTTTTTTTTATTTCCGTTTCTGTTGCCTATTTCGGGGAGTATCCTTCTTTCAGGCTTCGGCCGAAGGGTGTGCTCGTCCTTCGGCCGGTTCGGACTTCGTTTATAACGTCCGTGATCTGAGGGGGGTCCCGTCGCCTATTTATGACGCGGGCTAGACTTTTGGTTGGTTTCCAACGGCTGCCGTTGCCCAACCCTGAGTGGGGGGATTCTGCCACCTCGGCCATGATTTCAGGCCTGTCATCCTGCGATCTGGCGCGTGGACGACGCGGTGAACTTCCCATTTCAAGACGCGGGCCGTTTGCGGGCCCATCGTCCTGGGGACATCGTCGGCCATACCTGAGCGTTTCACTCTAGGCTTACGGGGCTAGGACGATGTGCTCTCTCAGCTAGGCCTGAGCCCTTCGCTGATACAAAATACAATGGAGTAGACCTGAGCCTTTCGCTCGAAGGCTGCTGATACGACACGTGGTATCTTCTATTTACATTTCCAAAAAATAAGCGGAATACAATAGGTGCGTTGTTTATGGCAACGGCTTTTGGGCGACGCGATTAGCGTCTCGGAGAACGAGGTGTACCGTTTACCGCTCTCGGGCATAATGCCATGTGCGGCCGGTAGCGGCTCTCATTTTCAGATGCCCGAGTCACCAAATAAAGGTGACTAGGGTAGGTCGATGGACCTAAATATAATTCAAATCATCAAATAAAGATGTTCAGTAGACTAGAGCTCGGGTCCACCACTTTGGGGTTTTTTGACCCGCTCTAATGACGATGATAAAAATAGTAATGCCAATAATAATGCATCATTAGCGACCTCGGGAAATCTTAATCCCTCATAATGGTCTTCACCACCTCGGGGGTTTTTAACCCGCCATAATGGTGGTGGAAATAATATAATTAATAATAGTAATAATTATACTATTATCATTTAATAAATATTTTAAGTGTATAAATAGGAGGAAATTTGGGGTACTTAGCTTCTTATTTGGACTGCTTGGCCTGAAATATGTTGTTGAGATTGAGGCCCATTGAATTATTAAGTTGGAGCATACATGGTCTGGCCCACTGCTTGCCTCTAACCCAAATCTCCAGCGGGACTTTTAAGGGCTGACGGAGTCAACCGAAGTCCCCCACCCAGGCTCTTCTGCAAATGATGCGGGCATGTCACACGGCGGAACCAGCTGTCCTCATTGCGGCCGCCGGAAAGGGAGGGGACGCGGACCTGGTCTCATGGCTGCTCGTTACCTACTGTCGCCGTCAGCAAGGGCGGAAAACGAGGTCGTCGCTGCCGGCTGGAGAGGGGAGACACAGACAGGTCCTCAAACGTTGTCGTTGTCAGCATGGGGTGTAGAAGATCCTTGGTTGCAACTACGAGCTCTCCTCGCGGGGGAGCTAAACTTGGGGCGTCCTTGCGGCCATTAATGGCGGATGGCTAAGGTCAAGCTCGAGCAACTGGGTGAAATGACCATGAAATTTGCAGTCATGGACTTGGCTCCGATCTTTGAGCTGCGGTGGCGAACGGAGCTGTGGCGGAGTGGAACAGGAGCTGCGGTAGCAGACCTCATCCCTGCGTGTGGATTTCCTTCTCCTTTGCTCTTCCGCCGCTGGACAAGATTCTATGTTTCCAGATTCTTTTTTTTCTTTTTCATTTTGCAGAACATTTTTGGTTGATTTCTTGTGATTGGAATGATTTTTTTGTATGTTTTGGGAGGATTCTAACTTGATTTTGCTCTAATCTCTTTGGATTATAGGGTATCCAAAGTATATGATAAATGGAGAGATTGAGCTTAATAATGTGGAGAAGAAGATGAATAGTGGTATTGAGACTTATGTTCTAGGGTTACAAATGGCTCCAAGAGGAGTATAAATAGGGAAATAATGGGCCGGGCCGCTAATATGGGCCCGGTAGCCCAACTACATAAAAGACTAATCTAGTACATAGATGTGTGTGGGCCGCTGTCCGGGCCCAATAGTCGTGAGACCCGGGGGTCCGAGTCTATATACTCTATCAGACTTTAAAAGTCATTCAACAAAAGATGCTGCCTCTCAAAGAAGATCTTGAACGAAGACTTGCTGATGCTACTGATGAGGAGCTAGAAAAGTTTGACAACCTGGAAACAATCCTGCAGCCCATCATCAAACAACTTGATAAGAGAAGAGCTTTGAGACAGTATGAACATGCACTGAACATAAGAAAGCACTACTTCAGAGCTCAGAAATAAAAGCAAGACGACACTTGATCACAAAGGGGGAGATTGTTGGAGATCATTTTATTGTGAATCAAGCTTGTCATATGCCTTGTAATAGCTTAGATTTTATTATATCCTTTGTTGTTAATGTTTGTATTTATTAGGGTATAAAGGATATGTGGCCAATGTGTCAGGCTCATATCAGGCTGAAAGCCTTTACGCAAACCTTTAACCTGCGCATATAAAAATGCGCTTTAGGTTTAGGTTTGCGTTAACTTTCGTACTCGATCAAAATAGCCTATGGCACAGACGTATATAAAAAAACGCGCTTTAGGTTTAGGTTTGCGTTAACTCTCTGTACGAGTTCACGGTATATCAAAGAGGGATTTCATCGATCATCTGTGTTCATCTTTCTGTTGTTTTACTTCTTGATATATCATATTATATTGTTGTTATAGAAAACAGGGACTAACAAAAACTCAAGAAGAGAATAAAGCAAGAGCCTTTGGAACAGGCCCTTCAAACCAAGCTCACCTTAAAAAAATAAAGAGATTTTCCAAGAGGGAAGAAATCAATGTTCAAAAGAGCGTGGTCAAAGCCAAGGCTATGGAAGAGGAGGTTATAAGACTTTCTATCAATCAAGAGGTCGTGGAAGAGGAGGTTTTTCGAGACCAAGTTATGATAAGTATCAAGTTCAATGTTATAATTGTCAAAAATTTGGTCACTTTGCCTCCGACTTTAGATTGGCAAAAAATAAAGTTGAGGAGCGAACAAATCTTGCCAAAGAAGAAGAAAAAAATTCAACATTGTTGATGGCCCATAATGGAGGAGAAAGTGACACCAAAACGACATGGTACTTATATACGGGAGCAAGCAACCACATGTGCGGGAAGAAAGATATGTTTATCGAGCTTGATGAATCGGTAAGTGGAAATATCTACTTTGGAGATGAATCAAAAATCCCGGTAAAAGGAAAGGGGAAAATTTTAATCCGGTTAAAAATGGAAAAAATGATTTCATCTCTAATGTCTACTATGTGCCCAACATGAAATCAAACATTTTAAGTTTGGGGCAACTTTTAGAAAAGGGATATGACATTCATATGAAAAATCACACCCTTTTGATGAGAGATAAAAATGGGGGTTTGGTTGCTAAAGTACCAATGTCAAGAAATAGAATGTTTTCATTAAACATTGAAAATGGGGGTCCAAAATGTTTGGAAGCATGTTTTAAAAATTCATCTTGAATTTGGCACTTGAGGTTTGGGCATCTTAATTTTGGAGGTTTAAAATTGTTGAGTGATAAAGGTATGGTGAAAGGTTTGCCCAAAATCAATGAAGTTAATCAATTGTGTGAAGGGTGTTTATTTGGAAAGCAACCAAGAAAAAGTTTTCCAAAGTAAACATCTACAAGAGCAAAACAACCGTTAGAGCTTGTACACATGGATATTTGCGGGCCAATTAAACCATGCTCTCTCGGAAATAGTAACTATTTTGCTCTTTTCATTGATGATTTTAGTCGGAAAACTTGGGTTTATTTTCTAAAACATAAATCCGACGTGTTTGGGGCTTTCAAGAAATTAAAAGCTATTGTTGAAAATGAAAGCGGACATAAAATAAAATCCACGAGATCCGATCGTGGGGGGAATTCACTTCATAGTGTTTGAAAATTTTTGTGAAGAAAATGGTATTTATCGCCCCTTAACAGTTCCATATACTCCACAACAAAATGGAGTTGTTGAAAGAAAAAACTGGTCTCTACGTAACATGGTTCGAAGCATGCTCAAGACAAAAAATATTCCAAAAGAATTTTGGGCCGAAGCCGTAGATTGTGCGGTTTATTTGTCAAACCGATCTCCCTCTAGAAGTGTTTGCAACAAAACTCCCGAAGAAGCATGGAGTGGAAGAAAGCCCAGAATTTCTCATTTGAAAGTGTTTGGAAGCATTGCTTATGCTCATGTGCCGGATCAAAAAAGGAGCAAGTTGGATGACAAAAGTGAGCAATGTATTTGTATTGGCTACGATGCAAGAGCAAAAGGGTACAAGCTTTACAACCCAAGCAATGGAAAAATCGTGATTAGCCGAGATGTTGAGTTTGATGAAGAAAGCACTTGGGATTGGACTCATAAAGAAGAAGAGTACAATTTCTTGCCTTACTACAATGAAGAAGAAGAGGAAGAACAAGAGATAGCCCATGAAGAGCCCACGAGTCCAACTCCACCATCATCGGAGCAAGAAGGATCCACAAGTGAAGATCATTCAAATGAAATTAAAGGCCGCCTCGTTTAAGGAGCATACAAGAGTTATATGAGGTAACCGAAAATATAAATGATCTAACATTGTTTTGTCTTCTTGCCGATTGTGAACCAATAGGTTTTGAAGAAGCGACTAACAACAAGAATTGGAGGGAAGTCATGGATGAAGAAATGAAGGCCATCATGAAAAATGACACGTGGGAATTGGCCACCTTACCCAAAGGGCACAAAGCAATTGGTGTAAAATGGATGTTTAAAGAAAAGAAGAATGCCATGAGGGAAGTTGAAAGGTACTCCTATCATTAAGGCTACAACCAAAAATATGGTCTCGAGAACTCTCCTATCATTAATTGTATAGAATTGTCTAGAATACATTAATTATAGAAGAATCTAGATACTTTTGTACTGGTATAAATAATAGAGCTCCTCAACCACCACTTTGTATCAAGCAAAATAAGCAAATTAAGTTGTTCTAATAAAATGCGTTCTTCTCTTTTGTTCATATATCTCTTCCATAATATTTCTAATTTATCCTCCCAATTTCTCAAATCTTTCTTCACTTATTTCCAACACTACTCCAGGGAATTTTCTCAATAAATAAAGGTGACCTACTTTAACTATCATAAAGTACACGGTACACTTTTCATATTGATTAATTAGAATATTTTGTACAAGCATATAATTCAAATAGCTTGGTTGTTATATATTCTGTGCCAGTATAAGGTCCGTGAGGCGTCATCAAGACAAGGACTTAAGGTTTGTGGTCAACGGCGCCATCGACGTTCCTCAACCAGTGAGTCTGAGTAAGAGCTGCAGCACCTGTGGGGACGTCATCCAAGATTCCTTCGTGTCCCGCCGGAAAGTATATTCCGGTACGAGGATGAGGCGTCCAGCAGCTGCTACCTGCAGGTCGCTGCCTTGCCTCTTCCCGGCTCTTATCATTCTCAGCCGCCGCCGCCGCCGTGACATCCCCTTTATTGACTTTGACGTTCCTCCTGTTATTCTCCCTGCACGGCCCTTCCAACCAGCCGCTCATGCAACGTCGTCGTGCCCTTGATTAATTTATTCAAATACTCCAAATATGTTAGTCGGTAGTATAGGGCTAAAGAGAAAATTTCTTAAATAAAACTAAAATATAAATAAAGTGCACGTATTAATTTATGAAATATGATTTCTAACGGTTAGGGAAAATTTTACACTTTTAACAGGATTAAATAAGTTATTTCAAAAATAAAATATAGGTAGTTCTATTTTTGCATTTTTTCGTCTAAGTTTCACTCATATATAAAGCAATTATATTCCTATACATAATTGCTCCGTATTATTTACTCTTATTTAAGATCCCCCAAACCATTTATTTCATGATTTTTGTTAAAATATTACTAAAATGAATCTTATTTATAAAAACTGTGATTAATAGTTACTACAATATAATCTTATAGTCATTTACGTGTAGAAATTGAATAAGTTACTATGACTAAGTTATTAATCACATTTTTGTACACTACGATCATATCTATTTCAGTCATAAATGTAAAAATATTTAATTGATTACCAAATTTGCAGCGGCCTGATCACGATATGGAACTTAGGGAACAAAGCACTGGACATTAAGATTAGTGTTGAGGTAAGTAAGTTTGTCGCGTATTAATTAATGGAGGGCGCTTGGGATTTTTATACTGCGCGCATGGGGAAGGCGAATTATGGGAATTCAAAAAATAAATTAATAAAACATACGGAGTATATTCGACATGTTAGATACTGCCTAAGGCTATCATGCGCCAAAAAGTGTGTTCCTGCCTCTAGGGCTCTAGGTTGGAAATTGTCACTTCTTTTACAAAATTACAAAAATCTGCATGTGTACATATATAGCTACAAAGACTTGTAATAACTAAAAAAAATACTTAGTTATGGAGAAATGACCTGATCAGTCCGGACTTACGGAAACCGCCGTCGGGTCAAACTCGTTTGAGAATTTTTCTGGTCAATTTTTTTTATGAAAATTTTTAAACCCTTTTTTCATGAAATATAGAACATATTCATAAAACTTCAGCTTAAAATTCAACCAGAAAGTGTATATATAGCGTTGTGTTTCAATAATTTATATAATTGACTTTCGTATTGAATTTTAAGCACAAATTTCATAGAGATATTCTAACTCATGAATAAACATGCTCAAATAAATTCATAAATAAATTCTATCCGGAAGACCTTGTACTACGTACATACTTGTATATACTACATAGTATATTCTCCCTCCATCCCATTTAAAGGTTCTCATCCAATATTCTCTAGTCAACATGCATTGTTCTTAATCTTTTACTTTATATATAAAAAGTTTATGAAATTTAAATTATTTTTTGCAAGTTTTGATGTAGTTTCTGAATATATAAATTTTATTTACTAAAAATAATTCTATTAATGACAGGGATCAGTTAACTTTATGGTCAGTCGAACATCGTAAACCGTGTGGGAACTGTTAGAGCAAGAATTTGGCGGTTTATGTTGCATTAAAGAGGGTTGATCACAGAAGTTAATGGGGCTTAATGATGACTGTTGAAACGGATTTGTGTTTATTATTATGATTAATAACGATATTAAGACAGGAGATTACTTATTTTGAGCTGACCAGCATTAATGACAAGTTGTGAAACCGTCGGGTCGGAACCGTCAAGTCAAACCGCCCGTAACGGACAACTCGAGCTATTGGAGCATTCGCAAGGCCTAATGACAATTATTGTAACGTCTTTATGTATTATTATTAGCCTCTTTAATATGGTTAATGAAGATATTGATTGTAATTGACCGGCCTTTATGACAGATTTGAAATCATCATAAAGTGCGACCAACCTGTCAGTAACGTACAAAGTCATCATTATGGCTTTAATTACCTTTCCTATAAATAGGATAACCTCGTTGTAATCAGCAGCTTCACATTCGAACAACACACTGAAATACACTCTTATTCGCTTATTTGTCATCTTCTTCATTGTTCTTGTACGAGACCCTATCTACATATAATTTTCTTTTTAATTAGTTTTAGCTTATCAAAATTTTGCTTAAACAATTTGCCGCCCACCGTGGGGCATCGTGTAAGAGAAATATCATTGAGCATGGATGGCGCGACAATCCTTTGTTGGCAGATCGAGTTTCATGCGTAGTTGGAGTCGGCAATGGAGGAAATCTGACGAGAAATGGCGGAACGAATGACCCATCTCCAACGAGAGAATGATCTGCTCCGATCCCAATTCCAATAAGCGGTATCAATCGCCTCCAGTTCTAGAGGCAACCGGAGAAACGATATCACGTTCGTCGGAACACGATTGGAATTGGATTCCATTCCGGCAATGACGGAATCACCTATCATCACCACTGAACCTGTCTCTCTCACATTGGGCCTCTCACCTGCCGGAGATTCGCAACCTACAGTCATCTCTCAGGTCATCCCTTACACACCTCTCGTCCTTGAGACGACTCCCCTTCCCAGCATACCGACTTGTTTCTTTCCGGAGTCCCTTCGCCTCGGACCAAAAACGACAGGCTTGCACTCGGCCACCCAAAGCCTACCAATGGCTTCGGCCGTATCAGCCCCGACGGAACCGTCTGTCCCTCACTACAGAAGCAGAACTCATGGTTAATGAAGATATTGATTTTAATTGACCGGCCTTTATGACAGATTTGAAATCGTCATAAAGTGCGACCAACCCGTCAGTAACGTACAAAATCATCATTATGGCTTTAATTACCTTTCCTATAAATAGGATAGCCCCATTGTAATCAGCAGCTTCACAACCGAACAACACACCAAAATACACTCTTATTCGCTCATTTGTTATCTTCTTCATTGTTCTTGTACGAGACCCTATCTATATATAATTTTCTTTTTAATTAGTTTTAGCTTATCAAAATTTTTCTGAAACACAAACCTTGAAATGGGATGGAGGGGTATATCACTCTTATTACTCTTGGTTCGAGTCTATAAGGTGTGGGCCGGGATAAGTTAACGACTTTATTTCCTTTGACTCTCATCTTTACAATGTCTCATATTTTGAATTTATAATGTGTGTGTAGTACTCCGTAGAATATGGAATTTATTCCCATAGTGACCATGAATTGAAGAAAATTTTAGAAGTTCCAAAAAAAGGAGCATCTTGATTTTCTTAGGACTTCAGTTAAAAAATGAAGTTGAAAAATACATTATATTTGAAACCAAGCTAAGGTTGTTGTGTCTGTGTCAATAATATGGAACAAAATGATAGAACGATTCAACCACAAGATAGCATGAATATATGCATGGTCCATAAAACACAGCCGGCTTTTGTATATTTTTTGCTTTGCACTTTCAAGTCTACCGCTCCAATTAATATCTTCAATGGTATAAAAATACTACCGTGACCGCATTAGAAATTAAATTTTTGATTTTTTTTAGATTCATTTCATTTTAAAGTTTAGAAATTGCTCTAAATAGGAGCAAAAACGTTTTGAAATTCCAAAATAGGAGTGTCATATTTTTTAGTCTCTGAAAAAGAGTAATCTGTCAAGTTTGAAAAAAAATGTCATGTTTTAAAACCTAGTAATGCCAATGTTTTACTCTTATTCAAAGAATAAAAAGCATGATACTCCTATTTTGGAATTTCAAAACGTTTTTATTCCTATTTAGTGAATTCACCCAAAGTTTCAAAATCAAAATTTTTAAATTTTTTACTAATAAACAATGAAATATATCAATACTCATAATTGTGCATTAACAAACGTGGAAATGAAAACTTTGCAACTGCAAATAGAATGCATGAAATATATAACAATACTACTAGCTCCGTCACGAAAAGGTTCATCGTATTGACTTTTCTTGGTCAATGATGACAAACTTTGGACGATGATTTTAATTATTATATATATATAATTTATAAATTTTATACTTTTATGAAAATATTTTTAATGAGGAACATTTTGATACATATTTTATGTGTTAAATAAATTCGTATTAAGAAATATCATTAGTCAAAGTTGATTGTCATTGACCAAGAAAAGTCAATCTGGTGAACCTTTTAGAGACTAAGAGAATAATATATAGTCGACGCAAAATATTTTCAATTCAAACATATATATTTTGTCATCAATATTTACATCAACTCATGAAGTGGTATCATTTAAAAAAATGATGGTTAGGTCCCAGGTTCGAATCCCGGCAACTGCAATGAGGGGTTACTATGCTAAAAATGCATAGAGCCTCTACAAGTACCATGGACAGAGCCCCACTCTCTACCTGTCAGATTGGAATTATAGTCAAATTTACATCCTCCCAGCATACCGTTCGATCAGGGTTGGGGACCCTCAGGGATGGGGTGTCATCCTTTTTTTATTTAAAAAAATGATGGGAAAATATTTTCAACATTGAGAAATGTGATATGATAGGTATTCTATCATCTCTGAATGACTCTCTTAGGTCGTCTTTGGTGGCATAGCTGTTTTAAATGGCCGCCGCAAGTTCAAAAGAACATACTTCGTACGTTATATGTATGTTATCTTGTCAAACGTAGCTTTATATCTAAGAACAACTTTTACGTATAAATCTGTCTACCAAATGCTTTGTGTAATCTGATTCTCAATAGCGACATGCATTTTATGTGGTTTTTAATTGCTCCTCTAATTTTTTCAATGCACTTTAATTATTAATGTTGTGTACAATTGCAGTACGTACGTGCGTGGTGTAATTAATTAGGTGTACCTTATTATGTTTAAACACAAACATCCGTAGACCGTAGTACTATACGTACTTGAGGGCAACATTCATGGCTAATACCTAGCGAATAAACTACCGTTTCTACCAAATTCTATCCCACCTTCAACCCTCTCTTACGTCCTCTGCCTCCGCGCCGATTCAGCGTCGGTCGCCGCTGCTGCTCGCCCCTGCGCCGACCACCTCTCCTACTCGCTCCTGCGTTGATCGTCGCCTCTGCTCGCCCCTGCGCCGACCGTCGCCTCTGCTCGCCCCTGCGCCGACCGCCTCTGCTCGCCCCTGCGCCGACCTTCGCCTCTGCGCCGACCGTCACCTCTGCTCGCTCCTGCGCCGACCGTCACCTCTGCTCGCCCCTGCGCTGACCGTCGCCTCTGCTCGCCCCTGCACCGACCGCCGCCTCTGCTTGCCCCTGTGCCGACCGCCTCTGTTCGCCCCTACGCTGACCGCCTCTGCTCGCCCATGCGTCGACCGTCGCCTCTGCTCGCCCCTACGCCGACCGCCGCCTCTGCTCACCCCAGCGTCGACCGCCTCTGCTCGCCCCTGCGCCGACCGCCTCTGCTCGCCCCTGCGCCGACCGTCGCCTCTGCTCGCCCCTGCGCCGACCGTCGCCTCTGCTCGCCCCTGCGCCGACCGCCGCCTCTGCTCGCCCCTGCGCCGATCGTCGCCTCTGCTCGCCCCTGCGCCGACCGCCTCTGCTCGCCCCTGCGCCGACCGTCGCCTCTGCTCGCCCCTGCGCCGACCGTCGCCTCTGCTCGCCCCTGCGCCGACCGTCGCCTCTGCTCGCCCCTGCGCCGACCGTCGCCTCTGCTCGCCCTTGCGTCGACCGTCGCCTTTGCTCGCCCCTGCGCCGA